CTTTTGTATTAACTCTAAGTAAAATTTTTTGAAAGTTCATATCGATGGCATCAAATTCTGGAATATGTTGAGAAAGATGTATATTTTCAATTGAAAAGTTGTCGTTTTCTAATTTTAGCCGAGACGCTAGATTAAAAAACATGTCCTTATCTGTCCTTCTTTCAAAATGGATCACATATGTATGGGCACAAGTGGAGCTTAAACTCTTTCTAACCGAAGCAGGAATGTTTTCATCAAGACCAAGTTTCTCTAATACAGCGGAGAAAACGTTTTTTGGTGTGGATTCTGGAATACGCGTAGAAACATTAAGTTTTAGTGTTTTAGATGTTTGGTCGAAACAGGTTAATTCGGATCCATATAGAAAAATCGGCTTCACAAATTTGTTGAAAAGGCTTTTTGCTAATTGAATTGAAATGTTAATTTCAGAAAACACGAGGCACAGAGGGGGTGTCAGAATGAGCTCCGCGGAGCTTGAATACATAATGAGACAAAGCAGAGGCAGTCACTTGTTTCTCGTCACCCCGCGGCCATTTCGTTTCGTGGCATTCTGAGGATAACTCTCAGAATTGGAAACCATTCATTTCCCATTATAAAAAGTTTTCTACTTTTCTATTGAACACTAAAAGGTCCTTGAGCTCTTAAACAGTTACAGTAGGATGAATCATAAAAAAATCATTATTTCCTGAAAATACATGAACAACTAGAGTTCCAGGATCTCAAACCTTCGCCAAATGATGTAATCTTTATGACCAAATAGGATCCTCATTTCTTCTCCTTCTTCTTCTTCTTTTTGAATACCCTCGAACAACCCCTGTACGGGGTATCATTTCCGTGAATTATATCAGTTGATTAATTCTCCACCAAAAGACAGTCTTATCTTAACAAAGAATGTCTGCCATTCTAGCATTTCCTCCAAATTATGCAAATATGGTCCTTGTTTGAATACGTTATGTTTAATGATGTTCACCTTCACCTAACTTTCAAATACCCTAAACATTGAAAATCCAATTTACAAAATCAATATCTGCCTGTGTTTCTTTCGTTATCAATTACATATGCCACAAGGTCGGATATTCCTATCATGTAATGCAACTGATTTATAGAATTTCCTCATAAATTATGCTAATTACATCCATATTTTCATAGTTGTCACATGATTGTGTCAGGCATCACTTAAGCTACCTACATTCCAAAATTCATGACGATATACGTCAACCGGTTCTTGAGTTATCCTCTTTTATTTCCCAGCACAAGAGCTACCAATCATCTAAATTTTGTGACCCTAGCATGTCTAGGCCATGAGATATCAAAACCGGAAGTTCAGCTGCAGTACCATAGGAAGCTGCTAGGGGGCCCAAAATCTAATCATTTCCAGGTGTCATGAAGACCTACCCACCTACCAAATCAGTCTACTCAAGTTATCGTGTTTACAACACACTTACACACACACACACACACACACACACACACACACACACATGCACACACACACAGACACACACACACACACACACGACACGAACGCCTACGAAACCATAACCTTGGCGAAGGTGATATTAAACATGTAATGACTACTACCCGTACTATTACTATACAGGTGGTAAGTGCAATAAAAATCCTTGCCGCATAATGGCGCGATTGTAACATTCTTGCACTTGTTGCTCGATCCTGACGTGTATAAACGATTAAGTCCGGCTGCGCTGCAGTTCGAACTCTGTACAGACCCGCGCTATTAAAAGGCATAAAGCCAGACGACAGAGTGCTAAAGAAGCAACTTACATATTCCCAGAGGAGGACTATCAAATCCTCGTTACGTCACTACCAATGAAGGGTCAAGGTCAAGGCGAAAGTATGGAGCAAGAAGCCCGTAGTAGGAAAGGGACGTCATCTGAAGGAGAGCTGACACAATGTTCACAGCTGTACGTGTCATCTACCAGGCGGATATGGAAGAACCTAGTAGTGATAGCTGTGGTCTTCCTGGTGAACTTCACGGCGTTTCGCGCCATACAGAACCTGCAGAGCACGCTGAACAGCGCGGCCGGCCTCGGCGTGGTGTCTCTGAGCTGTGTGTACGCCTGTATGGTCCTGTCGTGTCTGTACGTGCCGATTCTCATCCACAAAATCGGCTCGTGCAAGTGGACCGTCGTGGTTTGTTTACTTGGACACATTTTATACACAGGATCCAATTTCTACCCATCCTGGTACACTCTGATACCGTCTTCGGTTTTGCTCGGGGCTATTTCGGGTCCGCTTTGGACGGCACAGCTCACCTATTTGACCCGCTCTGCTCAGGAGTACGCCAAACTGTTAAAACACGACAGTCCGGAGGGTGACATTGCCAAGTTTAACGGCGTGTTCTATTTTATGTTCGGATTTGCTGGGGTTAGCGGCAATCTTATTTCTTCATTGGTGCTCTCTGCGGGAAGACAGGACATCGGGAAGGGAGAACTAGAGTTCTGCGGCGCGATGGATTGTGGGATTCGTCCTGAAACCAACTGGACTACTCATTACGTCACTAGAAACTCTAGCACGTCTCACAATTCCTCCGCCGGACTTCCAGACGACAATAACAACCAACAGGCGATCATCTACACACTTTTCGGGGTCTTCCTCGCGTGCAACATCTTGGCGGTGCTGATAGCAGTACTTTGTTTCGACAAGGATGTCAAAAACATGGAGCTGGCGTCCACTGAGCCTGTCCCTACGGTGTCCCAACTCCTGCTCCGCACAGTGCGCGTGTTGAAGGATGTCGACTACTTACTCCTGATGCCTCTACTGGTCACCATCGGGATGTCCGAGTCCATCGTAGCAGGAGAGATCACCAAGGTACGCGGATCCCTACTAAATTTAAAACAAGACTTTTGAAAAAAGTTTATCTCGGCCGCTGGCCATGTAGTTTTGTGTTCTTTGAGGATGTCCACATAGATTTGTGTAACTGCTAGAGAGGAAAGAATGTATTACCTAGTATGTTCATACCTGCAACACTAAACAGGGTAATAAGTTGGCTTCCATTATCATTTGCTTCAATGGAATTAGTGAAAAATATTAATCTCGAAGCAGATGTTGGGAGGGAAAATGTTTAGGTAGAGATACAGATTTTCATTTGTGATTGGAGATTTGAGAGACAGGAAAGAGTTTAGGATATGTATGTGGAGCTAATTTCTCTGTTAGAGTAGGTTACACAGCTCTATGTATGGGGAAGACATTTTTTGGAATCAGTAGTGTCATGTTGTATATTACAGAGGAACTATGTTTCATCTGTATGTTTCATTGAAATTGTAATGTCTGGACAATACTGATGAATAAAGAGCAAAGATGCATGTGTCAAAAGTGAAATGTTTTATTTTGGTATAACTTCATGAGACAACACAAAATGGAGTGGCTACAATAACAGAGCTGTCAAACGTTATCAAGCTTAATGCACTAACATATTGTTAGGTTGTACGAATTCATAAA